TACAAGCTAGATACTTTTTATTTTTATGATGAGCTTGTAACTTCTGAAACGTTTTGAAATGGTTTCATGTTGGAGGGGGTTGTTCAGGGGGTCTCTGCTGACACTCAACATCAACCTCATTGTACAATATGTTTTTATTCGTATTAAACCAAAAGTGTTTTCTCCCATTATATTCATCTTTGTTTTAATTTTTCGTAAAACAAATGTCACAGTTGAGTCATGCATTCCCTGTTTGTTGTTTTTTGCCTCTTAGTGTAGTTAATACATTTTACGACACAGTAACCTAAATGTTGATGAGAAGTGTAGTGAACTAATGCAGCAGTGGGCTCAGCTTTCAACAACTTAATTAACCGAATAAATATGAAGTGCACAACATCATTCTAGGATGAGTCATATCTTCTTCAGTATTAGCTCATTTTTTTGTTTGGCAAAGTTAATATGAGTTGGAGGGAAAATGTATCTCATACAAAGGTCACAACAACCTTTCTATGAAATTGCAATTGCTCGATAGATAACCACAGATTATCTGAAAGGCAGGGACATAATGACAGTTTGAAACCATTGTACCTCTACTGTTCATGATATGTGTTTTACAAATGAATATTATAGATTCAGTTCTGTCTTACCTAAACAATTATGGTATATTTTAGTACAACAAGTCACCAATCAACACAAATATGTTCTGTGAGTTTGCTGACTTGCCAGTTGTCAAGCCAGGTGATGAACTAAAGTCATGACTCCAGTAATGTGATTTCTGCAGAGATCAATCACTCACCCTCTTTGAAAGAGATCCACATTGTGAAACTTGTGCAACTCTACAGAAAACTCCAGTGTTCCCTGTACTTCAGACATCATATATTCCCACTCATCACCTGTGGAGAGACAAGAACACCAGTTAATAAGACATATCAGACAAACACACAGCAGGATTGACAGAGAGAGAAAAAAAAAGAAGATACATTTCTAAAACTAGCTCACATTGTTACATCTTCTGTCTGCTGAGATTATGTGACTCATAAAGCCCGGCCGGCCGAACTGATGTATGAGATAGACATCTCACTCTGAAAATAGTTTTCATCATCACTGTTCAGATAAATGTCAGATAATGAATACCACCCTATGATGTGATTATTTCAGAGTTAAAGCACTGATGTGTGCAGCTGGAAAGAACTATCTTTGTAGCTGTCTTGAAGTAAAATCATTTTAGGAACTATTTAGAGTTCAGCCTCCATTATTGTAAATGTCAGCCACAGTACATGGTTATTACTTGTATAATTGGGAGGAACACATCTATTTGAATTGTATAGTTCTATATTACCCCCTTATTAAATGCAAAACACCTGCAAAATTGGCAATTACTTGTACATGTTACCTGCCTTGCTCATTTAAATTCAAATTTTATTACACAATTATGTGTAACCCAATGTTGTAATATGAAGGCTTAATGTATCCCAGAGGTTTCTCTTGTGTCAGTGGAAGGTTGTTATGTACTGAGATTTTACAAATGGAGTTTCTACCTTGAGCAAATGAATGTCTCCATCTCCTGTTTGACCCAAACATGGGAAATTACACAGGAAATATGCAGCTCCCATTAACAAGAGAGTGATGGAATATTTTTGACTTTTAAAGATCCTCAACTTTACAATATAAAGCATTTAACAATGACTGAAATGAGAGTTATCTCCAGGGCCTGAGAGGTACTAGCTTATGTAAACAGAAGTCAGTTCATTAAAGGAGACATACATTCATAATTAATTTGGCTATTACTTGAAAATGTATCACTTTTTTCATCCTGTTAATTTCTGCAGCAACTATTTTAAGCCTCTGTCTGAAAGTTTCTCTCCTTTTACCGCCCACCTCTTGATAAAGCCCAGTCTGCTCTGATTGGCTAGCTCGCTAAATCTGTCCTGATTGGTGAACGGCTTCCAAGCCATGAAGGAAATGTCGGCCTCCATTCTTGCTTTACCCAGCTTTGTTAGGAGATACTTCAGACTAGCTGCATGATCTATATTATTCAAATGTGGGCTATTGTAATTTAGCACGACATCACAATCGTGCAGAGGTATTGACCAGAAAAACTGTCAAGGCAGGAGCTGTTTGTCTCTGAGGGGGAGGAACTGTTGTTACCATAAACCTGGTCTTTTTTACTTTGTGGATCTTTTACATTGGAAAAAAACCTACAAAATACACTGTGAGAAGAAAAAATGAAAAAGCATATTGTGTCTCCTTTAAGCAGAAAAATATGTGTGCCTGAACACCAGACCATCATCAGACCATTAAAAATAGATGTCTCTACAAGAAACTGTGATCCACACACCCCAGGAATTCTGAGCCTCAGGTGTGAAAACCCACAAGAAGACAGTTCTCCATTAAAAGCATTTGAACCTCAGTTTTTTTTCCCAACACATCGAACAAGAATCATGTAACTTTATTTGAAATCCATAATTTCTTAATCATTACGAAAGAAATGGACTTCATACTCCAGAGTATTCATAAAGTTCCCACAGACCTGAAACGCGGTAAATCTGAGCTGTTGCCAAACACAAGCAGATGAAACGCTTGCGTCTCAAATAACCTCCTCATTTGATGCTTCCTGTAAGTGCTGTAAAAACTGGATGTGATCGCTAGCAAGCAGAATGTACACACAGTAAAAAAAACACTGTCAGACATAAAACAGTGAAGATCTATCTGATATTAAATACCACCAGATCTGAGACGTTTATTTATTATTTATTATGATCAGTTAAAATTCAAACCTTAGTAGAGTTAATTCCAATTTGCAGATATTCTGTGAATACAGCTTCTCTCATGACTTAAAATAAGTGACAGCACTTTACTTCATGAGCAGACTATTTGCTAAATTAAGCTAAATTAGTTCCTGTTGTTACCTGCTACAATGATGTATTATTCATTTTGTTAATGTTGCTGCCTAACACTTGTTAGCAGTGTGTTTGTCACCTCTGTATACTGCTAGCCCGCCTTTTGACAAAAACATCAATTGAACAACATTCTGTGTTTGAATTTTTAATATTCAAACACTTTAAAAGAACAATCCTTAAAAAGAAGTTGTGATTGATGGTTTATTGATATAGTGCTAAAGGACTGGGGCTAAGAATGCATGTTGCAAGCCAGCATCTTTATGAACTCTTGATTTTATTATAAGTAACTGAAATAAAAAAAACGGTTACTGTTACAGAAGAACACCATACTTAAAAGCAATTTTTATATATATGGTAAATTAGCTATAAGATGAGTCACTGACAAACTTTTAATTACTTGTTCGCATTTTCAAGAAGTACAGTTGTCACTTTTATCATTTAAGGATGAGGACTAAACAACATCTTTCAATCAGGCTATCTTCTGATTGTTGGAACGACAGGAATGCGTCCTGTAAACTAATGTAGTTAGCTAATGATGAACACCTTGGCCTTGGAATGCTCAGTTAGCTAACCAGACTTACGAAAGCGTGTGGCTTACATAAGGGCATATAACAAACTATACCACGTAGCTTAATCAATCCTTATGGTGTACTATGTTTTTCGGGAAGGATGAAAAATACAGCCTGACAGGCGCGCTCATCATGATTGCTAAGCCGTCCAATTGTTCTATGAGTGACAAAGCAAGTATGGTGATTAAGTTTGTTTTTCCCAATACGATACCCACCAAATATTTTGGAATAAAGAATTAGTTCGAACTTTTTCGGTATGCATTTGCATGTTTTAGTTTTGATGGATCACTTTCTTTAATGTAAAAAATATGCTGATCGAGTCCATAGTCAGTTCTTATTTGTCACTTATGAGCAGAGAAATCTATTTCTGTGTCCTTTCCCAAGTGCAGGATTTCATTTGGGCAAATAAGGTGAGTCTGGTGTCGTCTCACTTGGCAGGGATGGTCTCCTCAACCTTACTTATGCTGATAAGATGCATTTTAAGAATCTTGCCAAGTGTACATAAAGGATGGCTGAGAAATCTTCAATAAATCCAGGACCTGAGTTTTTCAAACCCGGCAGTGTGGAGAAGGAGTAAAAGCCAGCAGTGCAGTAAAAGAATCCTGACAAGCACAGTAGCATTGTTGTGGTACATTAGACGGACGCTGCTGCAAAAGGCCTGAAGGGACAAGAAACAACACAGTGAATGTGTTTTTTCCTCTTCTTGCTGACTCTGCCTGTCGTGTCACATTGACACTCGCTGGAATAACAGTGAAGCTGCGTGTGTATCGAGGTGACCAGTCATCGTAAAGCCATGAGCCAATTATAGGCCATTGGATGCAGAACTGTGAGACAGTGGAGAATATACAGCGTGTGATTTCATCAGCGCTGACTAAGCCAACCAAAGCTGCCTCATTGCTTCCCTAATTCCAGCGCTGAATGCTACATCCTGGTTATCTGTTTTACACCTGCTGTATCAGAGATTTATATGAAGGAGCTGCTCACTTCCCTCAGCAATGTGTAAGGTGGGCAGTAAGGAGGAGAGTGAACACTGTGTACTTGTTTAAGCCTAGGCTCACAGTGCAGGGACTTGGGATTTAAAAACCATCTGTACGTACAGTATATAGCTGGAGCACATGTACAGGACATGCACTGATTATCAGCCTCGGCCAAAATTCATCAATAAGTTAATCAAATCAGCGAGGCACACACCAAAGCACCCACGCAGACAGCTTCAAAGCCCTACAGCTGTCATTCATCCGGGCAGGATACAGTGTGTGCCCTTTGATGATGATGACAATGATGATCATGATGATGAAGATGAAACTGCTCTCCAGGAAATATATAACTGAAGCAATGGAGAATATCTTTGAAAGGGTAAAAGTCACACTGCCAGCAGATCCCACGAAAAGACCAAAACCAAAGACGTGTTTGTTTGTCTGGCTCTTAATATTTTCTGACACCAAAGCACGGCCTGTCTGTGGCAATCAGCCACATTTTTTTTTTCAAGGAGAAATGCTTAAGGCAACACAGACAATGTTTCATTGGTGAAGAGAAATCCTTCATTATTTCTGGAATTTTCACTGGAGAAAAACAAAAAATTGTCCAAGCTGACAGCCTTATCTTAGCAGTATCTCATGAATAAAACCCTTTATATGGCTCTTTCCATTAGGCCGCAGTTTTACAAGTTCTTAACCAGGATCCAATTTATATGAATTTTGCGGTTAAGAATTTAAGTAATTTAAAAAGAAAATTCTCAAGATGTGTTTGCTGCTTTTGACACCTCACCTCACCCTATCCTTCTAAACCTGAAAAATAATCTGTGGTAGTTTCAGTTATCATTGAAACTCAAAAGGTGGGGCAGCCTGCTCGAATATTATCTGGTCTCCTACGCATATATAAGTAGCGGTATCTGTAAAATACAGAATTTAACTGCACAAGCTGTTGGCAAAGACAACAGGGTGAGCTACGCTTGTAATTGATTATCAATATTTTGTTCTACACTGGTATATGAGGCTCATGCCAGATTCTTCCTGAAGGGGGTCATTTGATAGGAGCCTGGCGAGTCAGCAAAGGTTATGTCTTGAATGGAGAGTCCCAAACAGCAAGTTGTGAGTGTTGACCTCATTGTTTCCAAACATCTCAGTTTCTCTCTGTCTTTTTTATTCAAACTAAAACTGGACAAGCAGCATTTTCAAACTTCTCAGTTTTAACGGTTCTCAAACTCCATAGTATGGTGCACACCAGTCATATCCATAGCAGATTGATTGTTTTCTCAAATGAAAATGTAATAGTGTGGATGTAGACTCAGCTTCTACAGTTGTTGGCATGAAAGACTGCAAAGTAATCACGATAAATAATGTCACCTTCTTTTTGTTGCACAAATCGCAGATGAAATGCATGTACAGCCGTGCTCTGATGACTGTACAATGCTGCTCTCACATA